AAATTTATTTTGTATTATATTTATATATATATATATAAAAAAATATAAATTGCTATTAAAATATATAAATTAATAGTTGTTTTATAATAAAACATATAATAATAATAAATATAAATATTATATAATAGATAATAATTATAATAAGATAATAAAATATATAATATAATAGTTAGAAAAGTTATAATAAAAAATAATATTAATATAGTTATTGATTTTTTTTGTTAACACTTAACAAAATTTTCACAATAAAAATAAAGAATAAATCTAAAAAAATGTCCTTAAAATTGTTTTTTTATAACTATTAATAATATATTTATAACTAATTTTTATTTATTGTAAAAAACATAATTTATCAATACTAACATTGCATATTAATAATTTTTTATTGAATATTTATTTTATTAGAATATTCAATGCAATATATAAATTTAAAATAAATAATTATTTTAATTAAATATCTATATTAATAATTAATGTCAAAAATAAATGTTTATTATCTATATGTATATACTATTGAATTAAACTTTATTATATAAATAAAACTATATTATTTACTTAAATTACATTTAATTAATTGACTTATTAATGCTATTTGATTTTTTAAAATAAACTATTTCAATATATATTGTTAATTATAAAATAAAATATTATTTTATAATTAATATTTTTAAATTTTAAAAGTTTACTTTTATTTTGCTATATAGTATTGAATCTAAAACTTATTAAATAAAATTTGTTTTTATAATATACTAGATATAGTATTAGTTAATAATTAGATTTTACACTTTATATAATTTAATTGTTAAATAAAAATGACATTTTTATATATTTAATTATTAATAATTTTTAAAACTTTTTATTATATTTCAAATATATGTTAAACGTAAATATATTAAATTTAATTATCTCAATTATGTTAAATATATACAATATCTATATATAGATATAACTATTAAGAAATTTAATTTTATTTCCTTATATTCATATTTTTTTTATTGTAATAATAATTTTGTAAAAATTATTATATAAAACATCAATTAGTTATTAGCTTATATTCAAAAACATACTATTAAATTATAATTTTAATAAATATAAATATATATTTTTTTATATCAATTTTACTATCTAGGATAATTATTTGTAAATTTATTATATTTGTTATTTATATAACTAATTAATTTTATATTATATATATATATATCATATATATATGTTATTAAATTATAATATTTTTATAAATTTGAGTATTTTTTAATAAATTATAATATTGCTTTACAAAAATAAATATTACAAAATAATAATAATATATTTTTTATATTATAGTTTTAATAGTTTATATTAAACTAAACAATTTAAATGTAATAATTATTGTATAATAGACTTTATAAAGTATATATCTATATACTTATATTTAAAAAAAATTTATAAATAAATAAATAATTATAACTTTTATTTAACTTTGATTATGTTATTTATGGTCTAATAATATAAATTTATAATATTATTTTTTTATTATTATGTATCTTATTATAAAAACTATTTATTATAAATTGAATATAAATTATTATCATATGTGTAATAAAAACTTATTTATAAGATATTTATTAAAAAAAATAAAACTATTAATTATTTAATTGATTATTTTGAATACAATTGTCTATTATATAAAAAAATCATATAATTTTGTATAATTATTATTATTGTATATAAATAACATTTAAACATATAAAATAGATTTGGATTGGTATAACTTAAAATATATTATTTTTCTAAATATTTAATTAAATAAATTTTTTTAACTAATTAAAAAAATTAAAAAATAATAATAATTAGAGATAATATATACTGTATAGATTAAAATTATTAAAAAAAGTAATTATTGTGCTTTAATTGTATATAATTGACTTATTGATTATATTATTATTTATTTTATACATTATATTATTGTTATTGTATGATAAAGTAATACTATATTTTAAAAAAAATAATATTTTAATAATTAAATAAAACTAATTAAATATATAGTTTTGAAAACTGTAATAAACTAATTTGACAATAATATTATTGTACATTGTTTAACAAATTTTTAATTAAATTTGACTGTCTCCCAATCAAACATAATTATCAATTTTTTTTATTGATTAATATTTAATAAATTGTAAACATTTAAAAATAATTAAAAAAAAATTCTGTATTTAGTTAATCAATGAATAGTATTATAATAAATAGTAATATATAATTTAAAAATAAAGTATAATTGCATTTTTCAAAACAAAATACATAATTAGTTTTGTTTTAATTTTAATAATTTTAATTTAATTAACTTTTTATTTTATTTTATAAAAAATAACAACTATTTAATTAACTGTTTGTTAATACTTAAATAATTAATTATGTTTTTTTCTTAGTTGTTTAGTAAAATTATTAGTAATTTTAATAAAATTCAATAAATATTTCTAATTAAAAACAAAAATGACTGTAATTATAAAATTAATCAATAGTTTTATTGTTTATTTATTAATAATTTATTAATTAAATATTGAAGACTATCTGTCTTAATTGATACTATATATACAATACAGATATTTTTAATTTATATATTAATTTTTATTATAAATTTTTAATTTGTTTATCATATACTGTAGTAATAATAAAAATTTATTGTTAGCTTTTTTATATGCATTTATTATAAACTTTTTTTTTAATTATTAATAAATAAATAATACAAAATATTTTTTTTAAATCTGTATTTAGTTAACTAATAAATAATTATTTAATTGTTAATAATAATAATAATGTTGTTTATTGTTATTTAATTAAACAAAATTAATAAATATGAAAAATGAGTTAAATTTTTATAATTAAAAAAACTAAATATACAATTAATATCTGTTTAATAAAATTAACCAAAAATAATAAATTATTATATTTTAATTATTAGATTAATACATGAATACAAAATTGTATTAAAATATTTATTTGATAGCTATTAATAGCTATTAATTTTACATTAGATTAATTAATCAATAGTTTATAATATCATAACAATTTACATATAATAATTATTTTTAAAAAACTGTAATAAAATAATTTAGAATATTATTATTGTATATTAGTTATCATTTTTATTAATAAAGCAAAACAATAAATATGATTATTATTTCATCTATTGTTTATACAAATAATTTTTTTTGATAAAAATATTTTTGTATAAATTTAATTAGAGTAATATTAAATAAAAATAATTTTTTTTGAAATTTTTAAATAAAAACAATTTAGATAACTGTGTGTTTACTGTAATATTTTATGTTATACTAAATAACTAATTCAAATAAATATTTTTATAAAAACTGTAATAACAAAAATAGACAATAGTTTTAATGTTTATGTATTAATAAATTTATTTTTATAATTAAAATAACAGTTGAGTTCCATTTATTTAATTAACAAACAAACATCTATTATAAAATAAAAACATATATTAAAACATATATATAAATTAGTTTACATATGATTTTATTTTTTAAAAAAATTTGAATTATAAAAATTATTTTTTATCAAATATTTATATATAATTAAATATTAAAATAGTAATTATCTAAACAAACTTAGCTATACTAACATTACATAATAATAATTATTATAATTATAATTACTTATTAATAATGATAGACCACTAATTGGACTTAATATATAGTTTATAAATATATATAATTTAATTACATTACAGTAATTACACAATTATTTTTTATAGTTAAACTTTAATTTAAAAAAAATTTATCAATATATTATTCAGCTATATATTAATTTATATAAACAATTATATAAACTTAATTTATTATTATTATTATTGAATAATTGAAAATATAAATAATATAAATACCATGTGTTTTATGGTGTCGGCAATAGTAAATTGAGCACCTTGATCATTTTTGATGATTATTATTATTATTACTGGCACCTGTAGTATTGGCTAACTGTCCACCACAAGTACTACTACTACACATGTTATCAAATACGTAATGCCAATGTTAACGGCTATTATCAATAGTGTAACACATGTAGTGTTTATATAATTTATTATTATTATTATTATTATTATAAACTTAATTCAGATAAATATACTAAAAATATATTGAATTTTTTTTTGTAGTTTATTGAGTCATTTATTATTAATAATATTAAACTTTAAAAATAATAATAATAATAATTTTATTATTATTATAGTAGCCTATTAATACATAGATTTATTAATACATTTATTTAAAAAAATATTATTAAATAAACTGTAATCAAATAATTTTAACAATACTATTAGGCATATATTAATCTTATATTTAGTATAATTAGTTATTGATAAAATTCGAGTTTAAATTTATTTATTTTATTATTATTAATATTTTACTTTAAATAACTAAAATATTTATTTATTAATTATATATTTTATTAAAAAACAAAACAAAAAATTTGTACTAATTACACAAATATAACAATATTATTATAATGTATTTATATAAAATTATTTTTGTTAGAAAATAATGAAAATTAATTTTTAAAAAAATATATTTTATTTTTATTTTATTTTTTGTCTAAATCTAAATTTATCAGGGTTGTTTTAATTTAATTCAATTCAATATTAACTTATACTGTATATAAATATTAATAAAATTATAGAATATAATATATATATGTAGTGAAATAATAATAATTATTATTTATAATAATAATATAATTAACTAAATTTAAATTTAAATAATTTAACTTGTTTATTTGAATCAAAAATAATTTATAATTATTCAATATCAATATATTCCAGTTGAATATTATTATTATTATTAGTTTTAAAAGATTCTAGATAAAAAAATTAAAATTACAAAAAAAATAAAATTAGTTATTTAATAAAAAAATTAATTTTTGAAAAATAATAATAATTACATTTAATTTTTATTTTTATTTTATAATAAACTTATTAATAGTCAAAACATTTTTATTTATATAATCTATTGATTATGTGGTTTACTTTCATTGAGAGATTCATTATTATTATTATTTGTATTATTATTATTGTTTGAATCGTCTAATAGCCTTGATTTGTGATCAGCACCGGTATGTTTTGCTGGAGGTTTCCTATTGAATACCAGTTTGCATAGATTAACTGATGGTGCCTCAAACAGTATATGCAATATAAAACCAAATATCAATGAAAACATGGCTACCCCTCCCACACGAAATAACTGTGCAAATAATTTTCAATAAATAATAACAAAAAAATAAATTAATTATTAATATTATATATTTTGTATAATAATTATTGTATATTTTGTTAAAATTATTACTAATTATATATTTTTGATATAATTTTTACTAATTATATATTTTGTTAAAATTATTACTATTATATATATTTTGTTATAATTATTACTATTATATATATTTTGTTATAATTATTACTATTATATATTTTTGTTATAATTATTACTATTATATATATTTTGTTATAATTATTACTATTATATATTTTTGTTATAATTATTACTATTATATATATTTTGTTATAATTATTACTATTATATATTTTTGTTATATTTATTACTACTATATATTTTTGATATAATTATTATTACTATTATATATTTTTGATATAATTATTACTATTATATATTTTTGATATATTTATTACTATTATATATTTTGTATAATTATAACTATTACAACATTATTTTATATTTTTATATTACAGTAATTACTATAAATTATACTTATATTAAATTATATTATATCAAAACACTTACAGCATTATAGTGATCAATTGGGTACAAGTGCCGGGACTGGTAGCCATGATACCAGACAACCAACGATTGAGTTAAATATATGCTAAATGTTAGCCTAGAAAATGGTTGAAATATTTTTGCCGACAATATACGTACCATTATATCTATTTATAAATAATTTAATTTTCAAAAAAAATTATAAATAATATTAGCTAGCTAATTTTTTAACTATACGTTTTTTGTCATATATAGCACTGGCCAGGGCCAACCATGCAATACTGGCCACCCATACGGTACGTTTGATAGTTGTATACAATAGGGTTAAGGTTGACGCAGGTATGTCATCCATTTGGATGAACGGATAGGTGGAAAACGGTATGACCAGCAAACATATGAGGCTAACTGTCCATAGTATAGTTTTGGTTAGCTATAGGGGATAATAATAATAATTTTTTAGCATGCTAATATTTTTAAAATTAATTAAAAACAATTAAATTTTTTTAGCTAGCTACTTTTGGTAATTCAATTTGTTTTTGTTGGTGTAGTTGGCCACCATAGTTAATAATACCAGCAATTAGTGTACCAGTAAAATAGGCCATTAAATGATTATAGGTATTGAATTCAATCATATTGAATGACAGGCTCAATTTTCTAAAAAAAAAATAAATATATAATTAATTTAAAATTAATTAATTAATTATTTTTTTAATCAATAAATACAAATAATAATTATTATTAATTAATATATAAATCTTATTATTATATTTTTAAAGCTAACTAATAATAATAATAATTTTTATTTAGTACTTATTTAATTTTTAAAAATAATTAATTAATATTATTTTTTAATTAATTAATTAAATTTATTAATTAATTAATTATATTTATTTACTCAGGATCAGGGTCAAGTATATGGACCAATGGTATCTGATAGATATAGTTGATTAGTGTGGGCAATACAATGCCCAGTATGACTAGCCATAGATTTAATTTCAATGCACCCAGGTAGTTTTTCAAATAGTATACGATTACAAAATAGGCCAACAAATTGATTTGAAAATCGGCGCTCAGATACCAGGTTTGCGATGCACACTGTAATGAAAATGTAATAAAAATTATTATTATTATTATTAATTCAAATACTAATATTATTTTTTTTAAAAATTAATTAATTATTTAATAAAAATAAAATAAGTACTAAATATAAATTTATTATAATTATTATTACAAAAGTAATACTAATATTAGTTATTAATATTAATTAATTATTTAAAAAAAATAGAATAAGTACTAAATATAAATTTATTATAATTATTATTACAAAAACTAATACTAATATTAGTTTTAAAAAAATTAATTATTTATATTTAAAATATAAAATAAGTACAAAATATAAATTATTATTACTATTAATAGTTTGCTTTAAAAATTTATACGTTTTATATATTAATTAATTAATAATAATAATAATATTTGTATTTATTAAGTAAAAAAATTCGTAATCGTGTCTTGAAGCTATTATTATAATTTTTTATTTTTAATTAATTATTATTTAAATAAACATATTTTAATAATTTTGTAATTGTTTTAAAATTGCAATTATAAATATTTATGATTACAAAAAAATCAAAACAAAAATATTATATATAGGTATATGTATGATGATAAAACTGTTTACTTAAATAATATATTAGATTAATAAAATGTTTTATTTTTTTGTATTTTAATTATATCGTACTTGAAAAATATATTATTATTATTATTATTATAAATAATTATAAAGGTTTATTGAATTATTATTGAAAACTGTAGTCAATTAATTTGAAAATACTATTATTGTATATTAATTATCATTTAAAAATTTAAAATTAGAAATCAAAATATTGCCCATATATTAATTAACAAATTTATTTTGTATTTTTTTGATATAAATTAAATCAAATAAATTTAACAAATGTGTGTAAATATTTAACTGTTTATATAATTATTTAATTTTCAATAATATTATTGTTGTTGTTTTTTTAAATATAAAACTAATTATATATATATATATATATATATATATATATATATATATATATATATATATATATATATAAGTAAATATAATCTTAGATTCAATAACTAAAATAAACAATTTTTATTTTATTAAAAAAAACTGTAACAACAAAATTAATCAATAGTTGTATTGTTTACTTTATTAATAATTAAATATTTAAACTAGGTTATGCAACCAATGCTGTTATTTAATTAAACATTAATTAATAAATTTTTATTATTATTATTATTTTTATTATCTAATATAATTTCTAAATTTTATTACTAAATTATATTTAAGTAAATATTATCTTAGATTCAATAACTATAAAATAAACAATTTTTATTTATTTTTTTATATAAAAACTGTAACAACAAAATTAATCATTAGTTTAATTGTTTACTATATTAATAATTAAATACTTAAATTAGTCTAAGCAAAATGTTATTAAATTAAACATTAATTAATAAATAATAATTAATTATTTTTAATTATTATTATTATTTAATATAATTTTTATATATTTTTTCTAAATTTTATTATTATTATATATAACTAAAATCTTTTTCTATTTTAAAAACTAAAAAATTAACTAGATTCAATAACTAAAATAAACAAACTGTAATAACAAAATTAATCAGTAATTTTATTGTTTACTTTATTAATAATTAAATATTTAAATTAGGTTAAGCAACCAAAATATTATTTAATTAAACATTAATTAATAAATTTTAATTATTATTATTTTTATTATCTAATATAATTTAATATAATTTCTAAATTTTATTATTATTAAATATAAATATATAAATGTTACCTGATCAACCAGTGGCCACCAATTGGATATAAATAGGAAACTGGGTAACCAATTGTTATAGCACGGGTCGTGACCGTACCGTAAAAAATCGTAATGAAATACGGGTCCCGAACCCAGTAGTGGCCATAGAAATTGATAGCAAAACATACCGAACAATGGCGGCGCAAATCTTTCAAATTTTTTTTATGATAATTAATTAATTAATTAATTTTAATTAAATATTTTTTTTTCATTAGTTACCTGAGCCATCTCAATAATATATAATTTATATAGGTAAAATTTTTCTGAATTTTATTATTATTATTATTGGTGCTTGGTGAATTTGTATTTTTTGTATATTTTAATGATGTATGTAACGATATGAGACCACTAATATATATTTAATTAAAAAATAAATATAATAATAATAAATTTATATTAAAAATTATAATAAATACTAAATATTAATAAATACTAGATATTAAATTAAAAATTTATGATTTAAATATATATTTATAATTAATATAATTAATTAATAAAAAAAAACCTGATTATAAAAAATGTTTGCACAGATAGCGATCCACTGATAATCAATTGGGTCCACAAATGTTTGATAACTTGGACGCCATCGATACGAAAACGAGCTTGGTTAAAAAATAAATAAATAATTTTATTTATAAAAAAAATTACAATTAAATTAATTAAAATAAAAAAATAAAAAATTAATTTTAATTTCATTAGTAATAAAAACCGGCAATCATTGGCTGATCGTATAGACCCAGGGGTGCAAAATTGGTTGTATGACACAGTATTACCCATAGTATGGATAGCACTCGTAGCCCGTGAAGGAACTGTAGTTCACTATTATTATTATTATTATTACTGTTTTTGGTGTCGGTATCGGCAATAGTAAACAATTTGCTAGTGTTTGCCGTAAATGAAAAACATTTGAACAGTTCAAGCCATTTATTATTAATTATTATTAATTGAGCACCTTGATCATTTTGATTATTATTATCATTACTATCATTGCTAGCAGCACCTGTAGTACTGGCTAACTGTCCACCACTACTACTACAACAACACATGTTATCAAATACGGTGCCAATGATAACGGCTATTATCAATAGTGTAATACATGTACTGTTTATATAAAAAAATTAAAAATAAAATATTCAATTAAAATTAAATTAAATATTAATTAAAATTAAATTAAATATTAATTAAAATTAAATTAAATATTAATTAAAATTAAATTAAATATTTATTAAAATAAAATAAATTATTCATTAAAATAAAATTAAATATTCAATTAAAATTAAATTAAATATTAATTAAAATCTAAATTAAATATTCAATTAAAATTAAATTAAATATTCAATTAAAAATAAATAAAATATTCAATTAAAATTAAATTAAATATTCAATTAAAATTAAATTAAATATTCAAATAAAATAAAATTATTTATTTATTAAAATCTAAATTAAATATTTAAAAACCTAAAATTTTAGCTAGCTAAAATAAAATAAATTAATTAATAGACATACATAGCCATAATTTGTGCCCAGTCTAGGGCCTGATTGGACAGTCGACTTGATTTTGTTTGACAGTGCTCTACGGTAATGGATAACTTCAGTTCCTTGAATGCTAAATAAATAATACATAAATAATATAAATAAAAATAATTAATTGATAAAAAAAAATATTTTACATACCGTTCCTCAAAACACCGGTTACTTCACGTTCGTTACATACCGACGGTATACACAATCCGATGGCCAGCCGGCCGTACATACGGGCAAACGGTCCGAAACGGTCGGCCAGCCATGTATTGGCATACCGGGTGGCCGTCATATTCAGGGACTGGCCTACGGGCGGCAACGGTGGCCTAATATCTAGAAAACAGTACTGTCCGTAAATACTTGTAACATCATCGGTATCGGCATCCATATGGCCGACAGTGTCCAGACATTGATCGTAATCGCCATACGATGTAATCGTACCGCTCATTAGGCCAGTGGGCAATCGGCCACTAGAGTCGAGCACTGGTAGGTTAAGTAGGTTAGGATATGTTTTATACTTATAAATATGTTGTTATAATTACTCGATAGCACCCATTCATCGGCGATATCGGCCGCCGTCGATGTGACCGTCAATAGTTGCCGCAAACTTTTGGCGCACGTGTTGCTAATGTTTGGCTGCAATTGCTGTAAACTTTCCCGAAGTACGGGCAGGTATTGTCGCTGATTTTGGTGGACAGTCCTAAAAATTTGGTCAAAAATTTGTGCCCATTTTTCCGATACTGGTTTCTCATTGATATTATTTTCATTATTATTATTATTATTATTATTATTATTATTATTATTATTTGATATTATAAGTGATTCACTATTAACTAATAGTTCATCGTTAGTAGCTATGGTATCGACGGCACTGTTACATAAAATTGATACCGGTGCCCATAATAATATTAGTAGTAATAAATAGAGCACCGGTAGTAATAATTTTACAGACATTTGATTTTTATTGTAAATTATTATTGATATTTTTGATGATATATTTATTTAAAAACTAAATGTTTAATTAATTAAATATAATGTAAATAATATTTTTTTCAATTTTATTTTTTCATACTTATAAATATTGTATATATTTTTGTTGTAAAAAATAATTTCTAAATTTATTAATTATTTTTTGAAAAATTATATGATTTTTGTTTGTTTGTTTGATTACAACATTATACAAATTAAAGGAAAGTTAGCCCAAAAAATAAATAGCCAAAAATAAATAGTATTTTTTTTGAAAGATATTATATGTTATAATGTGGTTAAAATTATTTTAATTATTATTAATTTTTTAAATATTATTTATATATACAGTTTTATTGAGAAAAAAAAATTATTAATCGATAAAATAAAAATATACATATAAAAAATTGTTGTAAAAAACATTTTATTTTTTATAATCTATTATTTCAACAAAAATAAAATGTGACAAAAATAATATTCAATAAAATATTTTCAATATATAATCTATTTTTTGTTACACAATATTTATTATTTCATTAAACTTAATGTTAAATATTTATATTTAGAAAAAATAAAAATATATTATTAATGTGTTTTTATAGGGAGTGGGGGTAGTAATCTGAAAGGGGACAGATATTAAAAAAAATTTAACAGTAAATTCAAACCATTGATTCAAATGCTAAGTCAAACAACTGATAGTTTGTATTGTTTAGTTTTGTGCCGTAACTAACTTTCCGGGCATTGAGCTCCAGGTGCACGCCATGGCCTGACCTATATCTGGGCCATACAGATCCCAATTGACGGGACATATGACTACCAATAAAAAACACAACAATAATAATAACAAAAAATTAATTATATTAAAAATAAATTTATCAAAAATTAGTAATTATTAGTGATTTTAATTTTTTAGCAAAATATTATGTTGTGTTTATACAAAATATTAATTAAATAATTATCAATTTTATTAATTAATATTATACACAAGTATATGAATTATAAAATATACATTATATATAATGTTAATAATATATAGGCTATTGTTAATGTAAACTTAGCATGCTCAACTATAATTATAAATTATATAAAGTTATATTATTAGTATTTTGTTGTCAAAAAAATATTATATAAACTAAAAAATAATAATAAATTAATTAATAGTTAAAATTAACTAACCCAGTTTTAGCAAAATGTGACCATGTTTCAATTAGTCTACGGCTAAACGCCCGGTGCTCGTCAACAGTAGTAGCAGTAGTAGTAGTAGTAGTAGTACTATCATCAGTGGATAGGCCATACATTTGCGGATACCTGAGCGGCAAACCAAATACATACTGACACTCCTCAAAATGTGAACTACCTATCCATTCGGGCAATAGACCCGATCGTTGGGTAAAATAATACATATAGACAGTAATGTTTGGCCAATCACTCAGACTATCGGCAAACTTGATAACCGGACCTTTGAATAGGAAATCGCCGATAACTTCGGCAATCCGGTGGCGTAATTGCTCGGGACTTAGACTACCGTCGGTTCCCACTATACGGTCGACCAGTGAGTCCAGTTGATAGTCACTCAGATTACGTACGCCGCTAGACATGTCCGCCAATAACCGGCTAACTGTTTCACGTCTAATATCGGGAACGGTATCTAATGGGAACTCTATGGGCCGTATTTGATGCAAAAATAAGGTTCCCTCATCAGCGTTGCCACCTTTAATAATAATAATAATAATTAAATATATATATATATATATGTTAAATAATTATAATTATATTTTTAATTTTTTAAGTACTTAAATTTTTTTATTTTTAAAATAACTATAATATTAAATAGTTTAAAAAACACTAACACACTATTTTTTAAAATTTTGATTAATAAATAATTATAATTCATCTAGCATATTTTTGTTATTACAATTTATATTTAATTATAATAATTAAATATATGTAATGTTAAATAATTATTATATTTTTTATTTAAAAAAATAAATGTTTATTTTTATCTTTTTAAAAATAAATAAATACTTCAAAAATAACTATTTTATAGTTTTAAAAAAATAATTATACTTTAATAGCAGTATAGTTTTAATACAATAAATTTTTGATTAATTTAAATCAACAATCTGTGACTAAAATACCTATTAGTAATGTAAATATATAATTATAAATTATAAATAAAATATAAAAGCATATTTTTTATTATTACAGTTTATATTTATATCAATATTGATAATATTATAATAATTAGTACTAATATTTTAATTAATAACAATTACAAAATTAAAATATATAAAATAAATGTAGCTCTATACCTAATAAATAATGATTAATTAATAATTAATTAATAAAAACAATAAGATTGTTAGAAATATCTGTTTTTACAGTTTATATATTGTATAAAATTGTTGAATAAATGTTTTAAAAATATAAAATTAATATATTATATTAATATATTAATTTTTTGTTAATTATATATTTTTAGTTTCATTAAAATAATAATAATAATTTAATTTTAAAAAAGTAATATTTAAATAATACATAAATAGCATATATATATAGTTGCAAATTTAGTTTACTAATATTTATTTAAAAAAATTATATATAAATACTATTTAGAAATTTAAATTTATTTATTAAACTTTATTTTTTTTATAATTATTTTATAATAATTTATTTATTTTTTTAATTTTCATATCTAAAATTAACATTTAATTTATTGCTATAATTATTTGAACTAGCTTATTATAAATATATAAAAATTTAAAATAACAATTAAATATGTTATTATTTTCGCAAAAATATTAGGATTTATTTAAATACAATAAGTTTATAATAAATTAGATATTATTAATTCAATTGTATTTATAGATTATTTATTACAAAAAAATATTTTTTTTCTAATTTATAGATTATGTTTATTTAGATAAAAAAAAGTAAAACATATTAATTTAACATTTGCTATTTTTGAACTAAATATAATTTTGTTGTTGAAATTATTTAATTGTTGAATTTTTTTCAATATTTATAAAATATTTAAAATAATATTTGTTGTATACCATAAGTAGTCTATTATTAATTTTATAAATAATTATAATTATACAATAATAGTATTGCATTTTTTAATTGTTACAGTTTACTAATAATAATAATAATAATAATAATATAAGTTTGAAAATACCAATATTTTTTAGGTATTTATGTTTAATATATATTAAATTAATTAATAAATAACTAAAGTAAATAAAAAAAAATTGATAAATAAATAATATGCAGTTAGTTTTTAATAATAAATAAATTTAATTAAATATGATATAATAAACTATTTTTAACACACAAACACAAAGCAATTAAATGTTTTTTTTTGAAATAAATATATTTTAAAATAAATAATATTTTTTTAAAATACTAATAAATATTAAATAATAAAATTAATAATAATATTTTTTAAAAATGTATGTATTGGTTATATAAATGTATAGAAATATAATAGTAATAATATACTAATATATTTTTTGTTAATAATTTTTTTAAATTGTCAAAAATAATATTTAAATATCAATTCGTCTATTTGTGACCGACCATATATAATGATTTGAATTTGCTTATAATAAAAATATAATAATTTTATTATAATTTATTACAGTTTTTCAAAATTAAAAATAACAACAAAATATGATTTTTTCGCAGATTTGTATACAAATATTTTTGTTTGATATAATAAGTTTATAATAAATTGGATATTATTAATAAAATTGTATTTATAAAAAAATTTATTACAACAACAATAAAATTATTTTTTCTAAAATTAAAATTATGTTTATTTAGATTTAAAAAAGTAAAACATAATAAATTAACTTTGCTATTTTAAACTAATTTTGTTGTTAAAATTATTTAATTATTTTAAAAATTTATATTTATAAAAAATAATTGTATTAACTATTATTAAAATTATAAATAATTATATATATACTATTATAATATTGCATATTTTAATTGTTACAGTTTTGTATTAGTAATAATAATAATATAAGTTTGTTAATAATAATGTTTTATATGTATTTATGTTATATATATTATATATATAATTAATTAATAAATAGCTAAAGTAAATCAATAAAAATTAACAAATATAATTATATTAATATTTAATATAATATATTGTTTGTTTGTTTAAATAAAATTATAAAATATTGAACAATCATTAGAAATTCTATAGTAATAAATATATATATAATTAGTAATAAGCAATAATATTATTGAAAATTTAGTTAATTACAGTTTATTTATTTATTTTTTTAAAAATTATAATTTTAATATACTGTATGGTAATTGAAACTTTCGTATTTTTTCAATATACACAATTTAAAATATGTAGAATATTTTTAATAAAAAAAACTAAATAAATTATGCTATAATTTAAACAATTATCTTAATAAACTGTTATAGTATTTAAATAAATAATTAATACTAATATAAGATTAATTAAAATTAAAACAAATTATTGTTTACTTTTGTTTAAACAAAAAACAATATATACCTGATTTTACTTATCATTCTAATAGTAATTTAAATACAAAATTTAATCTATATTTTTAATAAAAAATAAAATAAACTGATACTTTAATATATGAAATAATTTTTATAAATTAATTATTTATAATAGTATATACGGTTAAAATTATGTTTATTTTTAACACAAAACAATTAAATGTTTTTTTTGTGCAATAAATATAAATTAAAATAGATAGTAATTTTTAAAAATTACTAATTAATATTAAATAATAAAAATAAATAATTATATAATTAATAACTTATTAATAATTTAATTTTTAAAAATAATAATAATATTTAATAAAAATACTTTAATAGTAGATTTATAGTTGCAAATTAAATAATAAACTTATAATAAAGTTTTTAAATATTTATTTAATAATTATATATATATATAATTATTAAATAAATATTTAACTTCATTAATTAAACTTTATTATTATAATTAATTTAGAATAATTTATTATTATTTTTAATTCTCAAAAATATTATTTAACTAACAATCCGTATAATTCAGAAATAATTAATTGAACTTGCTTATAATAATTATATAATAATTTTATTATTATTTATTACAGTTTTTAAAAATTAAAAATAACAATTAAATATATTATTTTTTTGGCAGATATTTTTGTGTGTAAAAATATTATTATTTTTTTAAATACAATAAGTTTATAATAAATTATATATTATTAATACGATTGTATTTATAGACTATTTATTACAAAAACAAAAATTATTTTGTTTTTCTAGATTATAAATTATTTTTAATTAGATATAAAAAGTAAAACATAATAAATAAACATTTGATATTTTTTGAACTAAATCTAATTTTGTTATTGAAATTATTTAATTGTTTTAAAAATTTATCAATATTTATAAAAATATTTAAAATAATATTTATTGTTTACTTGTAGACTATTTAAAAATTTATAAATAATTATAATTATACAATAATAGTATTGCATATTTTAATTGTTACAGTTGACTATTAGTAATATTAATATAAGTTTGATAATAGTAATAATATTTTAATATGTATATATGTTTTATATATATATATATCAAATTAATTACTAAATAGCTATAATAAATTAAAAACAATAATGTTTAATAATAAATAAATTTAATTAAATATGATATAATATATTGTATTTATTAAATACTAATTTTGTTTTTTTTTGTTTAAATAAAATTATAAAATATTGAACCACTAATTGACAAACTATAGTATTTAATATAAATAATTATTAATTAAGCAAAAATAATATTGAAAATTTAGTTAATTACTATTTATTTATTTTTTTTAAAAAAATTATAATTTTATTATATTCAAACTTTCAAATTTTTTCAATATAAAATTATTTACTTTATATATATATAATTATAAATTATAATTTAAAATAAGTAAAATATTTTTAATAAAATAACTAAATATATTATGCTATAATTTAAACAATTATTTTAATAAACTGTTATAGTATTTAAATAAATAATTAATACTAATATAAGATTAATATAAAATTAATTATATAGTTATCTTATTATTGATTTTTTATCAATTTTAATTTACTGGTAATTGAAATTTTCAAATTTTTCAATATAAAATTATATACCATGTATATAATTATAAATTAAAATATGTAATATAAAATTAACTTAAATAAATAGTGCATTTTATTATACAAATTATCTAATTAGTAATCTAAGGTATTATTAAATTAAAATAATTTAAAAAATGTGATATATATAACCAATAATATGTGTTAGTCTAATATATAATTTAATTAATTATTTAATAAACTATTATAATATTGAAAATATTTGCTATTACTGTTTTTTAAAATTAATTTTATTATATATTTTTTGTTTAAAAGAAACAATAAAAAATGTTATTTGTTTTTACTTACTATTAGATTACTTAATAAACATAATAATAATAATAAAAAATAATACTTTATTATATGAAATAATTTTATGAAACTAATTAAACGGTTAAAATTATATTTATTTATTTTCTAACAATTTTAAACACAAAACAATTAACTGTTTTTATAAGCAATAAATAGCGTAAATATTTAATAGTAGAAAATAATAGTTTATTAGTGGTTATAATTGTTTTGAAATAATTTCAAATAAATAGCAAAAAATAATTATATATTATGTAAATGTATATTATTTAAAATAAATTTAAATTAGACATTACATTCAATATATATATATATATTAATATATAAATCATTAATAATAGTATAATATTACAATAATTTTTAATTAATATTATTTATTTAATTGATATAAATTACTAGAAAATTTTTGTAATAAATAATTTTAAATAAAAAAATAAATACTTATTGTCTAGTAGGTTCTGAAATTTTAAATATTTTTTACATTAATCAAACGTTAAATAATTAACAACAAATTATATTACAGTTTTTAAAAAAAAATCAATTAAATGGTTTGTTATGAAAATAAATTATAATATTTTATAGTTTTATGTAAATTATTAATTAATAAACTTAATTAATAAACGATAATAGTATTAGAAATATTTTATTATTTTATTACAATTTATTGGTATTAAAGTTTATATTTATAAATTAATTCTAATTAAAATTTTAACATACAATATATTATTTATTTTTAATTTTTTGGATAAAAATTTATTGATATTTGATTAAATAATTAGTAGATTAAAATTAAAATCTGTTTTTTTTTCATTAAATCATTTTCATATATGGTTTACTAAAAGTATTAGTAATAAATAATAATACTACTAATAATATAGTATTTTTATAATTTTTTTTACCCTAAAACTTTATAATATTTTTTCATATTTTTTTAATACTGTTATTTGTTTGCTGTTAAATTATATTGTTTTTTAAAATAATAAAAAATAATAATAATATATTATAATTAATTATGTAAATATATATTGAAATATCAGCTACAAATTTTGATCAATTAATTTAAAGTAATACATTATTAATAAACAATATAAATATTTAAAATATTTGTTATTACAATTTTTTATATATAAATTAATTTAATATAATAATATGATATTATTATACTATTTATAATATAATCTCTTACTTTTACTAAAAAAATAATTATCTATTTTTTTACTTATTATTAGTATTAATTAAAAATTTTATAAATAACTTAATAGTAAAAAAAATTAAATAATAAAAATTTATATTCCGCCATTATCTGAGCTCAAGATAAATAATATTTTCACACTAAATAAACATTCAATATTATGTTTAATTATTTTTGTAACAGTTTTTTAAAAAAAAAAACATTTAAACACACATTATTTTAAAGTAAAAGCAATTAACTGTTAATTAATTTTTATTATAATAAATAAATAATTTATACTAAAAAATAAACATTGAATTTAAGTAAACAATTAATTAATATTATATTTTAAAAAAATAAATAATATTAAATTTAAATAATTAATTAATAAATATTAAATCAAAATAAATAATTAAATAAATAATAAATAATTAACTAATATTAAAATTATATTAAATAATTAATAAATATTAAATAATAAAATAAATAGTTAATTAATATTTAATTAAAATAAATATAAGATTATAATTAATAATAATTAAAAAAAAATACAAACCTATGAGCACTTGTTTCTGTCGGATACCATTGTCGGCCAGATTCGGGTCAAACGCTTCCCGAGGAAACTGTGGTAATACTCGTGAGGGTATTGTTGGCGAAAAACTCATAAACGTATTGGTCATCAGTTGCTCATGTATTTTGTTCAGATCCTCGGCCGATACTTGACGTAAACATTGGTATTGTTGGCTAACTGTGCGCTGTTGACGACCACTACCACCACAATTGGTTAGCTGTAAAATACGCGGAAATTGATGGCCAGATATTTCGTAGAAAAATTTCATTTGCATAGGACTTGAACTTTCGAGTATTGCCCGATGAAACAGATGACTGGCCTCGGGTGCAGCCATTAGTAGACCTATAGATATGGCACCGGCCGACTGTCCCATTAGTGTAATGCTATCGGGATCTCCTGATAAAAATAATATTAATTAATTAATTATTATTTTTGTATTTTGTGTGTAAAAATATTTAGTTTATATATTGTTATTATTATTATTAATTTAAAATAATATTATGTTTGTTTTTTGATAATTAAATTTTTTTTACTAATTAAATGTTTTACTTAAAACTTTAAATTAAAATTAAAATATCAATTTTTTAATGTAGTAAATAAAAAATAAAATATTACTATAATTAGTAATTTACTATTCATTATGTATTATATATATAATAGTAATAATAAAAATAATTAATTGATTTAATAATAATAAAAATAATTAATTGATTTAATAATAATATAAAAATAATTATTGATTTAATAATAATAAAAAATATTATTATTTTTTAGCAGAAAAATTACCTCCAAATTGACGGATATTTTGTTTGACCCAATTTAAGGCTAGTATTTGGTCGTAAAAACCAACATTTTTATCAATACCATCATTACCACCACTATCATCATCATTATCATAATCATCAGCACCGGTATCCAAAAAACCAAATATACCCAGTCGATAGTTGAACGAAACAAAAACCAACTGTCCCAAACTGGCCATTAGGCCGCCATTGAATATATCAAAACTGGTACCCATATAGACAAATACGCCGCCATGTATATAGACTATCACTGGCAATAATTTACCGTTTTGATGGACAGTTAGATTTTTAGGTAAGTCCCCACCACTAGGTGTCCATATATTCAAATACAGACAGTCCTCCTGAGTGTCATAATTGTTGATTTTTGTCAAATACTCGTATTGTTTCAAATTTATTTGCGTACAAAACGGTGGCCACCGATTGGCCTCACGTATGCCATCCCATTGTCGCATACCATCACCACTGGTTGTACCACTAGATAGTGGTTCAGGTTTTTTAAATCTCAACTATTTTTGTTTTTGTTGTATAATAATAATAATAAATTAATTAAATAAATAAATAAATTATAAAATCAATTGTTATAATTAATTTTTAAAAATATAAACTGTTATTATAATAATAATAATAAGTATTTAATCAAATAATATTTATATAAACTTAAGTATTTTATAATTTATTTTTTCTAGAAATATTATTTTTTAATTATTTTAGAAATAAATATTTATTTTTTTATCAATAACAAATTAATAAAAATAATTATAATAATTAATAATAATTTATAACAAACTGTATGTTAATAACAAATTTAAATATTGTAATTAAATTATAATGTTTAATTTTCAACTAGTATTAGACAAATTGAGTATTATATTTTTATAGTGTTATTTTTTATTACTAACTTTAAATAAGCTAATTTTTAGACTAATTAAGCTAGGTAATCTTAAATTTAAAAAACCTAAATACAAAAATATAATTAAATAAGAAAAATTGTTTTAGTTTTTAAATTAATTTAAAAAAAAATTAATCTCTAATCGATATTAATAAATCGTAACTACTGTTTGATTGTTAAATAATTTTTTTAAATCTAATATTTATTTATAAAAATTTTACAATAACTAAAATAATCTAAAATAACTACTAATATTACTTTAAAAAATTATTTTTATATACAAACTGTAAGTTTTCTAATAAACTATAATACTATTAATTAAATAATAAACTTTTATTTAAATTATTATAAAAATTGTTTTATTAAAATTTTGATAAAATATAGTTTTTTTCAAACATATAAGTACTGATTATTAATTATTTTAACATTAAATAAATTCTCAAATTATTATTATTATATACACTATAATTACTGCCTATAATAATAATAATAATTACAATTTATTACAAACTGTATCTTGATAACAAATATAAATATTGTAATTAAATTATAATGTTTAATTATCAACTAGTATTAGACAAACATATTATTGTCAATTTTTATTGTTAGCTTTAAAATGAGTTAATTTTTAGGCTTATTGTGCTAGGTAGTTTTAATTTTTTTAAACTAAAAAATACAGTAAAATAATAATAATTTAATTATTACATGTGTTTTTTTAGTTTAAATTAATTAAAAAAAAATTAATGACTACTCAATATTAATAAATCATAACTACTGTTTGATTGTTAATTAATATATATATTTTTAAAAAATCTAATATTTATTAATTAAAAATTTTATAATAAAAACTTTTGTTTTTAAAGATAACTAAAAATAACCTAAAAATAACTATTAATATTACTTTTAAAAAATTATTTTTTCAAAATATAATATTATTTTTTATATATAAACTGTAAGTTTCTAATAAATTATAATATTATTAATTAAATAATAAATTTTTATTTTAATTATTATGAAAATATCTATAATAAAATTTTGATAGATTTTATTAATTTTTTTATATTAAATAAAATTAATTTAAAAAAACTTACTTTATTAATAGGTGGCTGGGCGTACGGTATGGATAGAAATTGATTATACAAATTACCGGAAACATTATGTCGACTACCGAGTAATTTACCAAATGTTGTATCAATTATAACATTTTGAATCACTGTTTGATCACTACTACCTAAACGATAGTCAATTATAAACTTAATTAGATTATAGACTAAAACAATTGAAACTAATAGTATGAATCCAGTTATTATGTAATAAAATATTTTTTTCATTTTAATTTTTAATAAAAAAATAAATATATATATAATTTATTTAACAACAAATACTAAATAGTTAGTTTAATAAAATATTTATTTTTTTCATAAATAAATTTATAAGTATTATTATTATTGTTATATTTATTATTAATTTAAAAAACAATTTTATTTATTTAAATATATAAACTAGTATAACATCATAGCATATAATAAGTACATTATTATATTAGATAATAAATTATTAACATTATGTATATTTGGTTAAAATGTAAGTAATATTTTTTAAATATATTTAATATATAGTACATCAATAGTTAACATTTTTTAAATACAATATACAGTGATATATACAGTAATATATATAAAACATGATTACATTTTTACTGTCATTTCCTAATTAACTAAACATAAGTTTCAATTAAACCAAATATATAATACATTTGACAACAATATAACTATTAGATAATCAAATCAAATGTTATTTATGCTATTAAAATGTTGTGATGTATAATAAAAAAAATGTAATGTAAAGTAAAATAAATAGTTAATTCATTATACAATAAAAATTTTGTTGAAAAACAAAATCTAATATAATATCTAATAATAATAATAAAAGTCAAAATTTTTGAAAAAAAATAATTTAATATTTAATGTTAATTAAATTAATATAATAATTATATTATTTTAATTATAGATTACTTTATATATGTGGTTTGATAAAATAAATTAAATTATTAATATTTTAAAACATAATATTTAATTATTACAATAAATAAATCATCTAGTTTTTATATGATTAATATCAATAAAATAATAATAATAAATTAAAAATAAATAATTTTAAAAGATAAAATAAATTAATAATCATAAAAATAATTATTTATAAAAAAAACAACTGTAAAAACATAAATCAGCTAATGTTTTACATTTATAAATATTCAATTATAGGTTTATAATTAGATATTATTGAATATGTTTCTTATATATAATTTTATATATAATTTTATATATAATTAGATTTTTAATTTATTTGTTTTTTATTATAACTCTATATTAAAACATATTTACTATTAAATAATGAAAAATTATATATATTTATTTAAAATAATATTTTCAAACATTTAGTCTCAAAAAAACAAAACAAAAATTAATCAAAAATAAATCAACAAAAATATTATAAATATTAAATCTCAAACATTTTTTAGTGTAATGAAAACTTAATTAAAAAATAAATATAATCACATATTTATATATTAAAAAAATAATAATATATTAATAACTATAATAATAATACACCTTTTTAACTAATATTTTTACAGTATATTTAATATAAATGCTTAAATAATTAAGTTATTTTAAGTAATATTAAAACAGGTTTAAGGATTAAAAACATAAATACAAATCATATATTTAAATAGTGATATCCTTTTTCCTATTGAAAGTTACAGTTTGGGTATAATTTATTAAAAGTTTTATTTAAAAAAACACGTGTTTTTCCTATTATTATTATTATTATAATTTATTTTTGTTAAAAAAAACATCAGTAGTAATGTATTTATTATTAAATAAAGTTATCATCAATAAATTAAGTAAATTAAATCAATTGAAATGTTTGTCATTAAATTTACAACAATTAACAAACAAATTCAATGTGAAATTGTGTGAAACAATTGATGGCTTGAATGCAATGAATATCCAAACAACAAATGATTGCATTTCTATGAAAATCATTGATTATAGTGACTGTTATGACAACAACAATAACACGCGATTCAAGTGTTTTTGGCCTAAATGTCGGTTTAAAACTAGTTATGAAAATCATTTAATTAGCCATCAATTGATTCATTCATCTGAAAAACATTTCAAATGTAATTATTGTAATCAAATAATTAAAAGTCTATCGGCTTTATATTATCATAAAAATGCCAAACATTTAAATGTTAAATATGTTTGCGATTACAACGATTGTCGGAAAAGTTTTACTAGAAATTCAGATTTAAATCGACATAAATCTAGTATTCATTTTAATTATAATAATAAAAACATTAAATGTGTTTATGAAAGTTGTAATAAATATTTTACACGCGAATCATATTTTAAAAAACATAAAAAACATGTTCATCAAAATTATAAACAATTTAAATGTAATGTCGATTATTGCGATAAAACATTTGCAAACAATAGTGATTATAAAAGACATAATTTAATTCATTTGACTAAAAAACAATTTAAATGTACAGTAAACCAATGTTTGAAAACATTTACAACAAATCATTGTTTATTAAAACACAAATCCACTGATCATTCAATTGAACTGAAATTTCAATGCGATTACGAAAATTGTGATAAAATATATTATAGTTTAAAAGGTTTGCGTCAACACAAACGTACTAAACATTTTTTGGATATAAAAAACTGTTAATTAATTTCAGTTATCTAAACATAAATATTTTTTTGTTGTTGAAAATTTTGTACATTTAGGTATTAAGTCATTCAAATGTAATTTTGACGACAATTGTAACAAACAATTTGCTTCAAAATCTAATTTATTTTAAATAACATCGACGACAAAAACATTTAAGCGATTAAACCATTTAAATGTGATGTCAATGATTGTAGTAATAAACGTTATTTACATAAATTATCATAAATATCAATATCATACATAATTTAGTAAATATAAATTAATATACAAATCAATATATATAATAGTATATTGTAATAATTTTTTTTTTGATTTAATTATTTTCTCTTATTAAATTATTTTTAAATATATTATTTGTAATTTTTTTTTATTTAATTATAAGTATAAAAAAATTTCAATTCAAATTAATAGAAACAATTATCATAATCTTATCATATTTACATATAAAATAATAATGTATTGTAATATTAAATTTATTTGTATTGAAAAATTAAAGGACTAATTTTAATAAAAATGTTTTAAAATGATTTTTATTTATTTATTTTGTTGTTGTTGTTGTAAATTACTTGTTATGCTAATATATTTATACTTTAATATTTTTAATTAAAAAAAATATTATACATAGATAATAATAATTTTGTAAATTTCTGGTAATCACTTATTGTATTTAAAATAGTTTTATAATTTAACAATTTTTTAATTCAATAATTAGTTACAGTTTTATATATATTGAGGGAAAGTTCCAATATTGACCGGTCTATCGACCGATCAAATAGTCAACTATACTTTCCTCCAAACTTATATCAATGTAATCAACATATTATCAATGAGTCTCCAAATCATTATTACTCTGAGACTCCAAACTATTAATATTCATATACTAAATACTTACTCTATAATCGCTATAAATACATGTGTTTAATACACATTTAATTCAGTCAATTGTTAGCTATCATAGAGTTAACATTACTCTTAATTTATACTTATTTATATTACTTATTATTTTCTATATATTGTATTATATTTAATAAAGTTATTTATTTGATTAACATTTGTGTTCAATTGGATAATTTAACTAATTATGAGGGAATGATCGACTACCGATCGGTCATACCGGTGACCACACCATATGATCGGTCTTAGATCGGTCACAATTGTCCCTCATTTGGCGCAGTCGGCTTTCGTACCTTTCGAGGAACTCATACATACAGTGCGTCATATTATACAAACATTCAAATCAAATCAACTCCTTTAGTGCTTCTACACCAACATCTCAGCCATGCCTTTGTTACGAAACGGCAAAAAGACAATCACGAATACAATCGCAAGTAGACGTGAATATGAAAAGAACATTAGAGACACTGTTCATAATGCAGTAGTTTCGGGGATCAATAGTCTTGTAGGACTAGATCCTAAAAGCCATTCAACACCTAACATCCAAACTCAACACATACCGTCTACAAGTGCTCAACAAACAAGTCAGAGGTCTAACACAAACATTTTCGATGATATAGACTTGACGACCGATCGACCGGTCGATCAACAAACCTCATCATTCAAGTTATATCAACGAAATGGACGACCATTGTGTGATCGATTCTCCGGCGGTTCATCAAAAATTACTGTGCAATCATGGCTCGACATATACGAAGCACTAACACTTGATTTTCCCGATTATGACAAAATTATAGCTCTCACGAAACACCTATCAGAAGATGCACTCGAATGGATGGCCAAAGATGTCATACCAAAGTTGGATACTCTCTCATGGCCTGACGTTCGACGAAAAATGATCGGTCGATTTGGTGATTCGGTAAACGATCCCCTACTCGACGCATCAAAACGTAAACTCAAGGCTAACGAAACTGTTATCGAGTATTACCATTCAATGCGTAAACTCTTGGACAGGGCTCGACTACCCGAACATCAACAAGTTTCGCTATTAACTAATGGTTTGCCCGAAGCATTCAAGATAGCTATGGCCGCCGCACAAGTAAAAGATGCCGAAACATGGCTTAATGTTGCGAAGGCAGTCGAGGCCGCAAAAGCATACAACAAGCATCGAGAGCATACCCATACCATCGATGAAGACGGATCGGTCTTATCGTCAGATAAAAGACATAAGGACCGGTCAAAGAAAAAGTTTGATAAGAAACCAAAGCAACCATCATCTCCGTGCAGGTACTGTACAGCTATTGGAAAGACCGAATACCATTGGCATAATCAGTGCCCAATAAGACCACAACCATCAGCCACAACTACAGCAACTCCTGGACAATCACAACTAGCCATTACTAATACTATTGAAGAATGTAACGTAATTGGCGATAATGGATATTTGTATTACGCAATCTGGATCGGTCCGGACAAGGTCTACGCCTTTCTCGACACTGGTAGCACATGCAGTGTTATGTCTCGAGAAACAGCCGATCGATTTGGATTGAAACCTATTATTAATTCGGACATCAACATCAAGACATTAAGCGGCTTTAAGCGCACCATTGGCCGAGTAGACGTCGACGTACGGATCTTCAAAAAGGTTCGGCAACTTTCATTTCATATCGTCGATGATTTTGAACACAAGGTTCTTATTGGTATCGATGCCGGCTATGCATTCAATCTAACACCTCGATTTGATGTCGGAAAACCATACATACAAACCCATTATCTTAATCATACGATAACTACAGTTCCATCACCATCTCTAACGATTGATCAGATCGGCAAGACCGGTCTCGATAGATTGTTAGGATCGATCGATGTTTTCTGTAGACACGACAAGGACGTCGGTAAATTCAAAACAGCCGAACATGAGATTCGACTGAAACCCGACGCCATACCATACCATCAACGATTTTTTCGATTATCTCCCGAACGCGAAGCTATTATGAGAAAACATACGGACGAAATGCTTGAAACAGGCCTAATAAGAAAGTGCCACAAAGGTTCACCATGGGCCAGTCCTATGTTTTTAGTCGATAAGCGCACTGGTGGGTACAGACCTGTCATTGATTATCGCAAATTAAACGCGATGACCATCAGTGAACGCGAACCTCTACCAATTATACGCGACCTAATTGACAAATTGTCGTGATCGGTCTACTTTACAACACTTGATGTTGCATGGGGATATTGGCAAATACCATTATCTCCTAGATCGGTCGAATGCACCGCTTTTGTCACACCATACGGACAGTTTGAGTTTACAGTTTTACCATTCGGATTAAAAAACGCCGGCAGTGTATTTCAACGTGAACTCCGACATATACTACAAGAATTTCACGGCAATGGTGTGGAACAATATCTCGATGATATTGTAATCCATACTAAAACCGAAAAAGAACACTTGGATCTATTGGAACGTGTCCTAAAACGCCTGACCGATCACGGAGTGCGCCTAAGACAAGAAAAATGTAAATTTATGGCCACCGAAATCGAGTTTCTTGGACATGTAGTTTCATCAGACCAAGTGAAGCCATCACCATCTAAATTGAAATCAGTAACTGAGTTTCCAACACCGAAAACTAAAGTTGCTGTACAACAATTTATAGGTTTGTGTAATTTTTACCGTACATTCATTGACAAGTTTAGCGACATTGCCGCACCACTTACGGCACTCACATCACGCAAAACTGAGTTCACATGGGATCGGTCACATCAAGAAGCGTTTGACAAACTCAAGGAAGCGCTTTCAACCTCACCGGTTCTGGCCATTTACGATCGGTCCCTACCCATTGAATTACACACCGACGCATCAGCTGTGGGTCTAGCAGGCATACTAATGCAAAAAGACTCACATAACAAACCACATGTTATCTCCTATTGGTCTCGTAAAACCAACTCAAGCGAGTGTAAGTACTCCTCGGCACAACTTGAATGTCTCGCAGTGGTTAACGCTGTCGAGCACTTCCGAGTTTATCTGGAAGGTAGTCACTTCACAGTCTTCACTGACTGCTCTGCTCTGAAATGGTTATTATCGATACCAAATCCATCGTCAATATTGTACCGCTGGTCTGTTCGACTTTCAGCATTTGATTACGAGGTTCAACACAGGCCTGGAAAGACAAACCAAGCACCCGACGCATTGTCTCGCAATCCAGTGTCACATCATATTGAGATCGGTCAGATCGGTCTCAATCAACATGAAATCGATGATTATGATATACGTTTGCCAGTCATCCAGAGAAACGGTATTTCATATATCATATATAACAATAAGGAACGCATCATAGTACCGAGATCTCTCATCGGTGATTTGCTTAAACAAGCACATGATAATCATAATCACCCCGGTACTGATAAAACCATTAGACTCATAGCATCACAGTATTGGTGGCCAAACCGTAATATAGAGATCATAAAGTATGTAAAGTCATGTCATACTCGTCAAACGGTTAAACCATCAAATCAAGCATCACTTGGTACCAGTCGACCTATCGAGACGCCGACCGGTCCAAACCAACTATGGGCCATGGATTCAGTGGTGGTGGGGACTGCCGCCAATAATTCGTCCGCAAAATACGTCCTCACTATTATCGACCATCATTCGCGCTACATATGGGCATCAGCTGTTAAAAGCAACACATCTGAAGCTGTCATTAATGCGCTCATTCATGTTTTTAGAGCCGCAGGTCAACCAGCCGCTCTACTGACCGACAATGGAACCAACTATACGTCAACACGGTTTAGACATTTCTTGGAAAGCCGTAAAATAAAACACATATTATCGCCGCCATACCATCCGCAAGCCAACGGTCTATGCGAAAAAGCAAATGGATTGATCAAAACTGATATCAGCTTAGCTCTGGCCGATCGATCCAACCGTAAATGGTCTTCGCATTTGGAAAAGGTGGTCGAATCTCTTAACAATCAACCACATAAGGTTACCGGTTTTGTACCAAGATACGTACAATTTGGACATGTACCGACCGGTCAACCGAATCCATCAGTCAGTATTGAAGAAGCGAGACGACAAGTGACCGACCGATCTCGCGCTGCACAAACCAAGAGGTCACAGTTACATAATTCCAAACACCAACGATCCAACTTCGATATCGGTGACTATGTCGGATACCGAATTCCAGACAATCATCCATCGAGATCAAAGTTTACGGCCTCATATCTCGCACCATGTATTGTTACCGAGAAACTTGGCGCCGAAACTTACCGACTCAACCAACTGGACGTAAACGATAATACTATCATTAAGTCGTTTATAGCTCATTCATCAACTTTACGATCATATCATTGGCGTGATGGTCGATCACCGCCAACACAACAATACATTCAAGTCCAGTCATACAACAACAATGACATCAACAATCATTACAGATATTTGCAACCAACATTTGTCACAACACCGAAATACCTGTCCTCACGTAGCCCGTCGCCAATTAATTCGAATATGGTTATCGGACCAACTAGTGGGCCGACCTTCAACGGGTGGGAATTGAGGGAAAGTTCCAATATTGACCGGTCTATCGACCGATCAAATAGTCAACTATACTTTCCTCCAAACTTATATCAATGTAATCAACATATTATCAATGAGTCTCCAAATCATTATTACTCTGAGACTCCAAACTATTAATATTCATATACTAAATACTTACTCTATAATCGCTATAAATACATGTGTTTAATACACATTTAATTCAGTCAATTGTTAGCTATCATAGAGTTAACATTACTCTTAATTTATACTTATTTATATTACTTATTATTTTCTATATATTGTATTATATTTAATAAAGTTATTTATTTGATTAACATTTGTGTTCAATTGGATAATTTAACTAATTATGAGGGAATGATCGACTACCGATCGGTCATACCGGTGACCACACCATATGATCGGTCTTAGATCGGTCACAATTG